ACAGGAAGTAAAAACAAAGAGGACAGGAAGGAGGAACAGAGAGGACAGGAAGTAGAAACCGAAAGGACAGGAAGTAGAAACAAAGAGGACAGAAAGTAGAAACCGAGAGGACAGGAAGTAGAAACAGAGAGGACAGGAAGTAGAAACAGCTGAGCCCTGCTGAAGGTAAACTTGCAGTAAACAGGATATTTACTGAAATACTGAAGATCTTTTAATAAATCAGGAAAGATGATGGAGGCACTAAGTGAATGTGATTTCCTGTTTTCTTCTCTGCACATCTTATTTGATCAAACACTGAGGAGGAAGCATGTTGTGTGCACGTTTGGTTGACTTGTCCCTGCAGGACGTCCTGTCTCTGGCTGAAGCTCAGCTGTCTCACACCTCGTCTGCAGCCTTGTGTCGGAAACTCTCCTCAGTGGGACGGCGGGTTCTGTCCATCGAGTCCGTCTCAAACGTCCAAGGTTATCATCTTCATCCTGTCTGCAGTGGCTGAGCGCTTGTTGGTTATTTTGCTAACAGTCGCTGTCTTTGTTCGTCCACAGATGGACAGGAAGGCTCCTGGGAGGCGAGATGGCAGCACTCCAAACCCAGAAGTGTTCTGAGCAGACTGAGCTCAGACGAGCAGAGCAAAGAGACGCCTGACGCTCTCCTGACAAACACTTTGTCCAGACAGCAGGTACTCGGTTCTGGTTCAGCTGCTTCAGACAAGCAGGTGTTTGAGGAAATCAAAATGTTCTTCTTACATTAAACCTGAACAAACAAATGCTTTGGTCCAAACCCAACATCTGCTCAGAGGTGCTGGAAATACAACTAAAGCAGAGAACTTTCAGGATTTACAGTGTTTTAAAATAAAATAACGTAGCAGGCAATAAAGAACGTATTTCTTAGGTAATGTTGTCCCTTACATGAACAGAACTGGCTAAAGATGATTCAAGGTATAGAATAAATACACAAACGTATGAGTGAGGTTGTCATCCAGGGTGAGGGTCCTCAGCAGTTCCAGGTGGTCCTCTGAGACCTTCTCCACCTCTCCTTTCACTGAGTCAGTCTCTTCTTCGGGGGTCGAGCTGGGGTAGAGGCAGGGCAGCAGACCCGGGACCAGAAAGTCACGGTTCAACTCCCAGCCATGACCACATGTCGAGGTGTCTCTGAGCAGGACACCCAATCCCTCATTTGTTCCCCGGGCGCTCACATAGTTGCCCACTGTCCACCTAGGCGTCTCTCGGGTGTGAAGGTTAAATGCAGAGAACTGACTTCATGGTTGTGTGGAACAGACAGTGAAGACGAGCGCACACGTCCCGTCCGAGCACCTTCATGTAAATATACGAACCTGCAGCAGCTGAAGCACGTCAGAGAGTCTGAGAACTTCTTCCAGCAACGTCAGAGAACTCTTCTACGGTAGATTCTACTTACAAATCTGTGCTCTGCCCTTGTTGTCATTCAGTCATGGACATTTGGCTTCGATGCGTTTTGGGGTGCAGGTTGCGTGTTAAAGTGCCTCGTGGGAAATCAGCGCACTGGAACTCTGTGCCTTCATCTGAGCCACGAGCTGTGGCCGTCCTCTCGTTTTCTCACATCTCCTTGATGAAGCCAAGGATTTCAGTGGCGTGTGAGAAGCTCTTCCTGTTACGCTGCTTTTTATCTTTTCATTAAACAGCCTGAGAAGAAAATGACGGGATTCTCACGTTCTTTGTTGGAACATTAAATGTTAAACGAAGCACCAGCAGCTTTTATTTGTTCTTTTTTTAATCCCTGAAATTAAGTAAACCATCTTGTATAGAAGTGATGTTGAGAACTTGCAGTTAAGAAGACAAAAACTGAAGAATCTGGACCAAAAGCCATGTTAAAACTCAAACTGGTTCTGTTTCCTTCACTGGTTGACCAGTCTGTGCTGGTCCAGTTGTTGCAAATAAATACATTTTTCATTAATTTACGTACTTCCTGTAACTTGAACCCTTTTGTATGACTGCAGTAGCAATAAGGACGTTCGTGGGTAGGTTTGTTTGGTTCCACCTCAAGTTAACTGCTTGTCGGCCTGCAGGTGTGCAGAGGCTGGGACTCGTCCCTGTGGGCGGAGGACATGGACAGCAGTGAAGGGGACGCCTCGGTCCTGACGGATGAGACGGACTGCCGGTCTCACAACAGCTCCCCGGTGAGGAGGAGAGCCCAGCTGAGGTTCAGCAGGATAAGAGGAGCCCTCAATCGCTCTTGCTCTGTCCCAGACTCCAACAACCCCCCATGCCTCTCCGCTTCGCCTCCTGGAGACATAAGTATTCCTGTTTCGGACCTGACGGAGATCGGAGCAGAAGACCAGTCTGTGTGGAACAACAGAGGTCAAAAACTGGACCGAGGAAAGTCGTGTGAGTCGTACTCTTACCGTAACACCGAGGACCGCGAGGCAGCTTCGCCGGGACGTGAAGACGTGGACGACCACCGAGGAGACGCAACGGTTCAAGAGAGCACCGAAGGTCCGTCTGAGGACCAGAGTCCAGACCCGACATCCTCATACACTTCCTGTCAAGCACCAGAACAGGAGCAGAAGCTTTCAGAGGACCGGGTCGCACCGAACCACCTCTATGTGTCAAATAACCACATGACCAAGAGCATGTTGTGCCTGACTGAAGAATCTCAGGATGAGGTGAGCACAGCAGACAAAACACTTTGTGACAGAATCCTGCTGAACGGATTTAAAATTAAAGGCGGCCATCTTGACACAGACAACTTAAAATGTGAAGGAGTTGTAGATGTACATGTGATGATTAGTTCTTAGAAAGAAGCGCGCTCAGGTAATTACATTGTCACCCACTTTACAGCTAATGATGAACAGTTGGATTGACTGCATTTGTCTAAGATGATAAAAACTACGAGTTCAGAGGAATAAAACATGAAGAACTAGTTGGAGGGCGGCACAGTGGCTCAGTTGGTAGAGCTGTTGCCTCTCAGTGGGAAAGTCACTGGTTCGAATCCCAGCCCAGGTTCCTTACTGGGTGGAGTTTGCATGTTCTCTTCATGCTGCATGGGTTTTCTCCAGGTACTCTGGTTTCCTCCCGCAGACCAAAAACATGCATGTTAGACTTATTGGTAACTCTAAATTGTCCCTAAGTGAGAGAGTGAATGGTTGTTTGTCTCATTTGTCTCTGTGTCCCTGTGATGGACTGGAGACCTGTCCAGGCTGTCCTCCGCCTCTCGCACAGTGATTGCTGGACATGGGCACCAGTGACCCCCACAACCTGCAAAGGAAGAAGCGGGTAAAGGATGGTTGGATGATGGATGGATGGGTGGATGATGATGGATGGCTGGATGGATGATGGATGAGTGGATGATGGATGAATGGAGCTACTTGTAAATGGACGTATCGTTTTATCTAAAATCAGCTGTTTTGCACAGTTTGAGCTGCGTCTCACAGTTTTCTCCCTAGACTCTGGTTTGACTCTGGTTTGACTCTGGTTGGACTCTGGTTGGACTCTGGTTGGACTCTGGTTGGACTCTGGTTTGACTCTGGTTTGACTCTGGTTTGACTCTGGTTTGACTCTGGTTTGACTCTGGTTCGACTCTGGTTCGACTCTGGTTGGACTCTGGTTTGACTCTGGTTTGACTCTGGTTGGACTCTGGTTTGGACTCTGGTTGGACTCTGTTTGGACTCAGTTGGTCTCTGGTTTGGACTCTGGTTGGACTCTGGTTGTAATCTGGTTTAGACTCCAGACACTGGTTTGATTCTGGTTTAGACTCCAGACTCTGGTTGGACTCTGGTTTGGACTCCAGACTCTGGTTGGACTCTGGTTTGGACTCCAGACTCTGGTTGGACACTGTTTTGGACTCCAGACTCTGGTTTGATTCTGGTTTGGACTCCAGACTCTGGTTTGACTCTGTTTGGACTCTGGTTTGACTCTGGTTGGACTCTGGTTTGACTCTGTTTGGACTTTGGTTGGACTTTGGTTCGGACTCTGGTTGGACTCTGGTTTGACTCTGTTTGGACTCTGGTTTGACTCTGGTTGGACTCTGGTTTGCACTCTGTTTGGACTTTGGTTGGACTCTGGTTTGACTCTGTTTGGACTCTGGTTTGACTCTGGTTGGACTCTGGTTTGACTCTGGTTGGACTCTGGTTTGCACTCTGTTTGGACTTTGGTTGGACTTTGGTTCGGACTCTGGTTTGGACTCTGGTTGGACTCTGGTTTGGACTCCAGACTCTGGTTGGACTCTGGTTGGACTCTGGTTTCAGCGTTGAGGCAGCAGTTTTAAACGGGAAGGAACAGCTCATATTTTTACAAATACTTTGGCTGTTAGCATTTTACAAACTGATTACCACAAAGAATGTAAACACTTCTGACTGGCTGCTTCCTAACGAGCGAATCTTTAGTCTTTGTTGAAAGAGCTGAAGAGATACTGAACGCTCAAACACCTTTTGGATAACATTCATATTTTATATTCACAACTCTTAAGAAGTAAAAACAAGACGTCTGTCTGTCATTCGCAGGAAAATAAACTTTTAATCCATAAAATCAAATGAAAGCGAGCCAGATGACTGTTTATGTGGAGATGCTCGTGTTTGTGGTGTGAACTTCTCTGTTTTGAACATTTGAGCTGTCATCGTGCCACCATCTTAGAAGCTTCCTCAGGCTTCCAGCTGGATGTTGTTGACGTGTATCATGTGAGAAGCATGGAGGGGGGAGTGTCATGGTGTCCCTCACAGTCGGAGATTAAACTCTCGGTTTTAAAGTTTGTGTTGAGGTCCACTCATCAGCAAAACCCCAGAGAATCGAGACGTTGCTCGACAGGAAGTAACATGTCTTTGAGTTTCTTCTCCGAGCTGTGGAAATATTCTGAGGCCGAGTTCGATGTTCTCTGGAGAAGTTTCCATCTTGATGATCCCTTCAGTTCCTGACCTCTCTTTTCTTTTCAGTGGATCTCTCTACGAGAGCTGCTCGTTGGTGGTGGACGGAGGCTCGTGGTGACCGAGCTGTGGGCTCTGTGCTACACCTGCCTCTCCTCGCTGCAAACCTACACCGACTTTCCAGGTGATCTCACCTGCGCCTCCCTCACAACCTGAAAACATTAAGAACAAGAACAGCTGCTGATACGAGATTACAGTAGTGGAGGCAGGAAGTGGAAGGCTGCTCTCCGAGCCTCTGTCATTCTGCGTATTTGTGATATCTCTTTTTATCCCATCAGCGTACTTATGTCTGGACACTGTGCACGTGAACTGCAGAGGAGAGGTGCTTTTTCTAAAACCTAAAAACATCGGTAGGCACTCTTCAGTCACTTTATTACATGCAAAATGTTTTTTCTTGTTCGAACAAAAAACAAGTGAGTTCCTGGTTTGAATAACTTCCTCTATGTGTCTTCTTTCCAGAAAGCCAGGATGACTTCTTTCTTGCACCTGAATATCAGGAACATGGGATCATAACCGAGAAGGTCTGTCTCTGAACAACGTTCATTTTTCATTCCTCGCTTGTTGAATGACTCTTGGTCTGCCGTCGGCGCTCAGGCCTGTGTGTACGGAGTCGCTGCTATTCTCTGGGCCGCGGCCAAGTTCAGCCTGTCGTCCAATCAAAAGCTGGCGCTGCCTCGCAAAATGAAGCGGCTGCTGCTGGAGATGGCGAAGAGAACGCCGATGGAGAGACCGACCATCGTCATGGCTAAAAAGGTATTTTAGTCAGAGCTAAAGCCAGAACCTGACTCGGCTACAACTGTTGGAGACTAGTTGGAACATTAAAATTCCCTCCAAAGTTTTTCACAGCATGCTTCTCCCATAACTCGCTGCTGAAGGTGGTGGTGCACACCTGTGACATCACGTATCTGTAACTTGAGCTGTCTTAAAGAGACACCACAGATTTACGACTGTTGCACTAGTTTCCTGGGGCCTCACGTACACAGGTTACGTATGCACGAAAACGTGCACGTTTCACACAAAACTTCAGATGTATGAAGAATGAAATGAGCGTGGAAACGTGCACAGCCTCATGCCAACTTCATGGCTGGCTTGAGGCAATGCACGTTTCATTGGTTACTGGTCTGTTGGCGACACCTAGAGGCGATGCTACTAAACTGTTCATGATGTGGAAACTATGGTTGTACACACCTAACACAGGATGAACAATTAATACATCCACATGTGTGAAATTAGAGGAGTGGATATAAAAGTAGAGCAAAAAATACTTTTAACGACGACTTTAGCCTTATTGGTGCAATATGCATAGAGTGCGTATTTAGAGACAGAGGATTTTCTGGACCACGATGACGACTGGCCCATCAGACACTTTAAAGTCCTGGCATTCTCCATCCGAAGCCGAACAGTTGGCGTGTGGTTACGTGGTTGCAGGACGTTCGTTTTCGCGCGTCTTTCATCGTCCACGAGGCACCGACGCAGAGCTCCTGGGAAGCCCCGCCCTCTGCAGTATGCATCACCACGTGGGTTTCTTCCCGTTAGTCTCCACTCCGTCCCTGCAGCCGCCGTTTGGCCACAGATCTGTCCTGAATAAAACGCCACACTTTTCGGCAGACAGCTCCTCCGTGCACGATGTCTGCACGATCTCCTTCTGGGAGTTTTTGTCCATTTGACCAATTTAGTGTTTGAAGAGTTGTGCAGCTGAATGTCCGAGCACATTTCCACATTGACGACCACGCCCACAAACTTATGACCAATCACCCAATCCTTGGCGCAGATGCCAGTGAGAAAAAGTTCGGTTGGGGCTTGTGTCGAGAAGGGGCGGAGCTACTCTGAGAACAAAATGACGCAACCTTCATCACACAACTTCGACAGTGAGAGCCGCTTTCAGCACTTCGGAGGGAGTATGCCGGGTCCTTTAAGCTTCAAAGGTCAATCCTTCTGGAACTGTGCTTGGATCTGCAGCCAGCCTTGGAGAGCGACGCAGCGAGGAACCGTGCGCTGCCCGTGCACATACAGCTGCTGACCACACTGGGGTTCCTATAGCAACAGGGGTATTCCAGAGGGAGCTGGCAGACCGATCGGGACTGTGCCAGTCCACCCTGAGCTGAGCCATGCCAGCTGTGTGGGATGGAGTGATCCATATGTCAACCAGGAATATCAAATTACCCACAATGCATCTGAACAGGCCAACATTAAAGCACAGTTTGCAGTGACAGATGGTTTTCCTGATGTAACAGAGTACTCAATCCTTTGGTTTCTTTACCTTCAGCTGTCAGTTTGGTTTGACTGCGTCTCTAGAAAACGCTGGATTGCAGTTTTTTGGATTAACTCACTCCGCTTGAGTTTTTACTGGACAGCTTGAAAAAACACTGATTTCCTTTCGAGTAAATATGTCGTTAAAGAAAAGTTCTGGAAACTCAATGAATTCAGTTTCATGACTTTGTCAACTAAATATTATCTAAGTCACTATTATTGTTGTTATTGTTAATGTCATCTTTTGAACTCTTCAGGTAGAAGTCATAGTTTTTTTAAGACAATGTGTTCTGTGTTGTTTCTAGAGCTGTCTTTACAACCTGTCATGTCAGGGCATGAGTGCTGAGAACGTCTGGAGGAACCTCATCAGCAGAGTTCACCCGGTAAGTTTACATTTGTACGTTCATGCAGCTGGACTTTAGGCCCCGCCCACTTTAGTTGCCAACATTTGGAGGCTGAAATCAGGAATAGTGGTAAAGGTCGTTTCTATAATTCAGTTGTGAGGTGTCTTGGTCGCACGAAGTACACGTGTGAAGATCAACAGATCTGAACTGATTCACAAGCGTCCACAAAGAGACAATCGAGCCGCCATGTTCCACGTTAATGATCAATAAACGATCGTACGCAGGTTTGTAAACACGGACATCCAGTATTGACAACACCAAAGTCAAAACCAAGTTTAGTTGTATATATGTATATATGTATATATATGTATAGTAGTAAATAATTGGTCTCTTTAGCTGATATAGAATCATTATTTTTTATATTTTTCTTTATTCAAGCTTTAAGTGAAATAAAGTTCATACTTGATGCTATCAAATTTATTTACGAAGCACTTTTAAAAACAACTGTCGTTGGACAAAATGCTGCACATAATACAAATAGTTACATACATGAACTACAACAAATAATCAATAAATTGATGGTGAATAAATTAGTAAAAAAAATAAAAAGTCAGTGCTCTTGTATTAAAATCGTATCTGTTGTATGAAAAGCTGATTCGTGTCATAAAATGTGTGTTTTGCTGCTCCTGCTTTAGTAAATGTGATTGTTGGCAGTGTATGACATGTGTCGTGTCAGCTTCAAACGCTGACTAAATATTGAAGCAAAGTGCATTTTTACACATATGTTCATATTTAAAATGAGTTTATTTTAAGAGAAGTTGGTAAACCTTCCAGATATTTTTAAAAACTGAAATCTCTGCTACATTTTCCACCTCCTGTCCACATAAAAATTGTTCTGAAGGAACAAAATAATAAAATAAAATAATATAAAAACTTTTAACTCGCTTTCCAAAGTGGAGGTAACTGTAAAACTCTGGTTTATTGGTGCAGATTAGAGCTTCCTGTTTACTGTCACTCTGTGGTCTAAAAACTACAATTATGGAGATGTTTTATGAGTTTTTTTCACATCTGTTTATTACCCTGTTCCAGGTGAACTTCCATCCTGAGCTGAAATGATTCATAAATTACATAAATCATAAATGAGTTTGAGGAGAATTTTCAGCCCAGCTGTTCTTGCTCTCTGTTTTTGACATGTGGTAAATGTGGACATTTCTGCCCCCTGCTGGCACGTCGTGAACATTGCAGCATTTTATCTGAATCATCTGAACATTAAAAAATCATAAATACAAAATAATGGTTGTTATTTGAGCTCCAGAACCAGTTTGGTTCTGGATCATTTCTTCAAGCTTCATTGTTTTGTTATATCAGTTTCTTATTTTTATTAACCTGTATTTTTTATTTTTTATTTTATTCAGCCAGTGTTGAAATCCAACGATGGAGAAGATTGGAGAACAGCTGAAACTCATCACATCTCCTGTGAAGAAGCTGCACAAAACGGTGGTAGGACGGTCTTACTTCAGTACAGATGACCGTCATGCAATAAAAAACACAACCTGTGGTCCAGAATGGTTCTGAATGGACTCCTGCTGCCTCGTGACCCCGAACAAGATTTAACAAAAAGATGCACCAAAAATACAAGAAATGACTTTGAATGTGCTTAAAAAGTGTCGACTCTTTCCATAACTGAAGAAGATTCACTTAATAAAATCTGGGATCAAACATTTACACTGCACATCTTCCAAGACTTTTATTTTTGCATTTAGTCTAGTTTAGGAGTTTGTAACTGCATGAGACAACATGTCTGGGGCTGTTGTGACCATGTGCAGGCTTTGTTCCCACGGCCACTGAGAGCCGACTGGCTCCTGTGGCCGACCCTGTTCCCCACAGACCTCCAGCCCCTGAAGAGCTTCAGCTCCAGAGGCCGTCACTCCGCCGCCACACACTTCACCCCATCATCCTGAGCAGCGACGCAAACGAAGAGGAGGAGGAGAGCTGCCACTGAAGGGTAGGCCATGAATACAAACAGATGTGTTCAAAACCACAGGTGTCCTTTGGACCAGGGAAAGGAAAATATTTTAAATAAAGATAAATATTTAAGTATAAGTGTCCCAGCCCCCACCTCCTGAACGAGCTGAATGTTATGATGTACGAACAGCTAAAATGACACAAAGTAGGCGGAGTAAGTAGATTATAAAGCACATCCAGAATAAGTAAAAACATGAAGAGTGTGAACGCTGACTCAGAGTCCAACTTATAATAAAGTGTAGACAAAATGCACTGATTCTGTTCTAAAATGCAGCAATATCTAATTAAATTCAGTTGATTTCTATAGCTCCAGGTCACAACAGTCATCTCAGGGCACTGAACAGAAACATCCACATAAAAAGCAGTCTGCTCCTCAGATAATGTTAAATTATTATTTTTATATATGAATGTTTCTGTTCAGTGCCCTGAGACGACTTCAGTTGTGACTTTGTGAGCTTTAAAAATAAACTGAATTAAACTGAATAAAAATTCAATTATTAAAAATTAGTAAAGAGTATTGGTCCAAGCACTGAACCCTGAGGAACTCCATGAGTAACGTTGGTGTGTGAAGAAGATGCATTATTTACGTTTACAAACTGGAATCTATCAAATAAATATGATTTAAAGCAGTTTATTTTTCTACCAGGGTTGTTTTGTTTTTCAGGACTGCAGATGAGTTCTCCAGAAACTGTGAGTTCACGTGGAGCTGCCTCAGTTTTCCTCCACATCGGTGCCAACGTGAGGCTCGACCCGCTTGTCGTTCCCACGATCCGACTTGTTGTCAGGCAGCTGGAAGCGCTTCTTGGGACAGTGGACTCGCCTGCTCGCCCTGAGATGTTCCACATCCAGGTCTGCTGTCCTCAGCGTCTTGAATCAGAAGTCCACAACAGCTGTCCTTAGTCCCCGTGCAGATCAGGACCCCCCAGTCTCTGCTCGGCTTGGACATAAACCCCTCTTCGGTACCGCAGCCTCTGCAGAAGCTCATTAGCAGGTCAAGACAGCAGCGATGCTGTGAAGGTTCCTGTGATGCTCAGAGCTGTGGAACAGAACCCACCAGAGTCCACAATGAACAGAACCAAAGGAAGAACCGGTCCGTCACCCCCAGAGTCCACCATGGCACCGCACGATGTACTGGACCTGCTCGAAGGAGAGTTCATCGTCATCCTGGTATGTACATTTGTAAAGATCTATATGATATAACTTTATATAATTTCAAACTGTAGTTTCTTCTCCAAGAATAAACGTCTTGAATGTGTTTTTAATAATTTTGTAAATCAAAGTCATAGGCTGCTCCATCCTGAGACAAGTATTGATCGATTAGAATCTGTTTTTGAAAACTCGTTCAACATCGTTCAGATCGTCATTAAGTTCCTTTAATCCCAGTCACCATCTTGTCTTCAGTGATTTATTCATAAATTTGGTTTAAAAACAACAGTCGAGCTCTTTAGACATGTTCATATCATTTAAAATGATCTGTTTGTTGAGGGGAGTACATGTTGTCCTTGAAGAACCTGCAGTACTCCATGTTTGCCGGCATGCTGGGAGACGTTCAGTGATCTGCACTGGGAGGACGACCTGCTGGAGGGTTTGCACTTCCTGGTCCACTCAGTGAGCAGAACTTCTCTTTAAACAACGATCACTTCTCTAATGATCATTCTAAGAACTTTTCATCCATAAAGACAACATGTCTGGTTTAGATCTGCCACCTCTCATCATGCTGAGCACCGTCCTCACAGTGAAGCACGGGGGTGGCACCATTGTGCTGTGGGGACACTTGTCATCACCAGGGACTGGGAAACTGGTCTTAATTTAAAGAAAGGCTGATGGTCCATAAATACAGAAAAATTCCTGTAGAAAACCAGTTGGCGTCTTCCAAAGATTATAGACGAGGACGGACCTTCCAGCAGGACATCCAACAGGACACTTTGGACACAAGCAGCCCTCATCCAGTCTGAAGGAGCTGGAGATGTCGTCTTTTGGTTCCAACATCATACTGAGCACGACGCTCTTGACCTCTGCTTTAGATGGTTCCCATGGAAACAGTAGGATGATGGGGGAACTCCTGTGTTTTTACTGATATGCTCAGAGACACTCTGAGGGTTGTTG